CACTGGAGGCCAGGAGGGTCAGGGGAGACATGATAACGACATATAAAATACTGCGCGGAATAGACGAGGTGGACAAAGACGGGATGTTCCAGAGATGGGACACAGACACAAGAGGTCACAATTGGAAGTTGAAGACTCAGATGAATCAAAGGGATGTTAGGAAGTATTTCTTCAGTCACAGAGTAGTCAAGCCGTGGAATAGCCTAGAAAGTGAAGTAGTGGAGGCGGGAACCATACATAGTTTTAAGGCGAGGTATGATAAAGCTCATGGAGCAGGGAGAGAGAGGACCTAGTAGCAATCAGTGAAGAGGCGGGGCCAGGAGCTGATTGCTACTAGGTCCTCTCTCTCCCCTGCAACCACAGGAATAAACTCTGAAGTGTCCCTGTTTGCAGATGACGTGAAGTTGATGAGAAGAATTCACTCGATCGAAGACCAGGCAGAACTACAAAGGGATCTGGACAGGCTGCAGACCTGGTCCAGCAATTGGCTCCTGGAGTTCAATCCCACCAAGTGCAAAGTCATGAAGATTGGGGAAGGGCAAAGAAGACCGCAAACGGAGTACAGTCTAGGGGGCCAGAGACTACAAACCTCACTCAAGGAAAAAGATCTTGAGGTGAGTATAACACCAGGCACATCTCCTGAAGCGCACATCAACCAAATAACTGCTGCAGCATATGGGCGCCTAGCAAACCTCAGAACAGCATTCCGACATCTTAATAAGGAATCATTCAGGACCCTGTACACCGTGTACGTTAGGCCCATATTGGAGTATGCGGCACCAGTTTGGAACCCACACCTAGCCAAGCACGTAAAGAAACTAGAGAAAGTGCAAAGGTTTGCAACAAGACTAGTCCCAGAGCTAAGAGGTATGTCCTACGAGGAGAAGTTAAGGGAAATCAACCTGACGACACTGGAGGACAGGAGAGATAGGGGGGACATGATAACGACATACAAAATACTGAGAGGAATTGACAAGCTGGACAAAGACAGGATGTTCCAGAGATTGGACACAGTAACAAGGGGACACAGTTGGAAGCTGAAGACACAGATGAATCACAGGGATGTTAGGAAGTATTTCTTCAGCCACAGAGTAGTCAGTAAGTGGAATAGTTTGGGAAGCGATGTAGTGGAGGCAGGATCCATACATAGCTTTAAGGAGAGGTATGATAAAGCTCACCGCTCAGGGAGAGTGACCTAGTAGCGATCAGTGAAGAGGCGGGGCCAGGAGCTCGGACTCGACCCCCGCAACCTCAACTAGGTGAGTACTAGGTGAGTACACATACACACACATACACACACATACACACACATACATACACACACACACACACACATACACACACATACATACACACACACACACACACACACACACACACATACACATACACATACACGCACACGCACACGCACACACCCACACACGCACACACCCACACACACACCCACACACACACACACACACACACACACACACACACACACACAGCCACAGAACCTTCAAGGAAGTGACCGTAGGTGACTGCCACCTCTGGTCTTCAATCTACAACAGTCTTTATGAATGTTCCCAACAATTTCCTAGCGACAACAGTCAACAAAAGAGAGTGTGCGGAACAAACTTTTATTGGGATGACGACGCTTCGTCCTAGATCAAGCTCTATGCAGAGCTGTAACCTGTATTTGCAAGGCCTGGAAGACAGCAGAAACCGAGGAGATACGATTACGATGTATTAGATACTAAAGAGAACTCAACAGGGCATACAGACAGACTGGAACAAGAGAACAGATAAAAGACTCAACTATACAAGTTACAGGTGTTACTAAGTGAACAGTTTGGAAAAAAAAAGTGGTGGAAGCAAGAGCCTATACACGGTTTTAAGAGTAGGTATGATAGGCCCCATGAGGTGGCGCACAGCATGTGATTCCAGCAAGACGGTATCAGGAGCCCAGATTCGACCCTCAGCAATCACAACTGGTTAATTTCGTTTTGGATACATCAGCAGTGTGTTGGTGCCTTAGCCCACACAGGGAGGTAGAGGGGGTCGCATCAACAGGGGTCCAATTCTAGCAGATAAGTAGGCAACACACACACACACACACATGACACCTCGGGGCCAGGAGCTAGGACTCGGCCCCTGCAACCTCAACTAGGTGAGTACACACACGTAGGCTACACACACACATCTACCATATACATACATGCATAACCACCCCACACACACACACACACACACACACACACACACACACACACACACACACACACACACACACACACACACACACACACACACACCAGAAAACATTTACGCACTCACCAAGAGGTGACATAAGGCCTCTAAAAAGATCAGGTGAATAAATCGCTCGCCGGCACCTCAGGAGCTCGTAAACATTCAGAGAACATCAATTTTGGCGCGCACTGCAGTCAGCTGATCTGGGGGGAATGGGGGAGGGAAGTTTTAGGGGTGTGTGTGAGATAGGAGGGGGAGCCTGGAGGTGTGTGGATCGGGGGAGGAGGAGGAAGGAGGAATGAAGACTAAGGCTTGCCTCCTGAAGGAGGTACTAGTCTTAAATCCCACACACAAACACTCCTTCGCCAGAATTATATACAGGTGTCATTCCGACAGTACCTCTATTCTTTTTTTTTAGCCAGGCGATACCTGTTCCATAATTATGAAGAGGCTGGTACTCAGTTACCCAGCGAGATGGTCCAGATAGCAACACTACAAAGTATGTAGCAGCCAAACAGTTTATTCTGATTGAAATGAGATTGTGAAGTCAGAAAGTGAACTGCACGTAGCTTTGACTGGTAAATATATAGAGAGTTGTTTTTGTGTGTGGAAGGTAGGAGAGGTGGGTACATAATTACCAACAGGTGTGGTACTGGAGGCCAAGACTTGATGCTAATAACTAGTGTTCACTCTTGTTCTTCATCCTGTGTGTTCTCGTGTGCAAGTGTTCTTGTTCATCCTGTGTGTGTTCTTCTGTTCATACTGTGCAAGTGTTCACTCTTGTTCTTTCTGACTTTATACCACCTTCTTCCTCCCCCCCCCTCTCTCTCTCTCTCTATTCTTCTCTTACAGTGTTGATTACGAACAATGGTATGGTGACAACGACATGTGGAAAACGACACTTACGTATAACTCAGGGCATTTATTAGAGGAAAGCATATGGCCCCGAGTGGCTTCTTCAGGACTGAACAAGCCAATACACAAATAACCCGCACATAGAAGAGAGGAGCTTACGACGACGTTTCAGTCCGACTTGGACCGTTTACAAAGTTACACTAACAGAAAGAAGAGGAGGGAGTATATATAGGCCAGCAGACAGGGACGGGAGCAAGAGAGATAGTAGTGGAGGTGGTGGTAGTAGTAGTAGAGTCAGTCAACAAGCCACTCGTGGTGAAACGTCTCCTCTAATAGATGTCCTGAACTGTACAAAAAAGTGTCTTATTCCATAGGCTGATTGTCTTACGTGATTCCCAGCGTCCATTAATGAACACTGCCTGAGAACTCTCCCTAATACTAAAGTACAATGGCTAGCACACTAACTTCTTAGTTTTAGAAGTGGCCAGGGGTTAGATTCTTCCGTTCAGCGAGTTGTTTATGAGAGTGTAATTACGTTTTAAAGAGTCAACACCATTAACAATGTAGATGAATGGTTCAGAGAACCGACATGTTGATAAATTAGACACATGTGCAACTCTTGGGTATCTTTATTGAGGAAACGTTTCGCCACACAGTGGCTTCATCAGTCCATACGTAGGAGAAACTTGAAGAACAGGAGGAGAATGCCGTATTCTATTCAAGATTGATGGACTGAACACATCGACTCAAGGTTGAGGGACTGATTACCTCATTCTCCTCCTGTTCTTCAAGTTTTCTCCTACGTATGGACTGATGAAGCCACTGTGTGGCGAAACGTTTCCTCAATAAAGATACCCAAGAGTTGCACATGTGTCTAATTTATCACCATTAACAATGTTATATTACTTAGCATGAATACATACAAATATATTCTTGCAATAAAATATAGGATTTGGCTTACTTTTCCCCCGTAAAATGAATTTGTAGAAACAGTCTCGATTAAATGTGTTATAATTTATGTATTTTAATTAAAAATTGATGTCAGAAATGCTTCAAAGCGCTCTGAAGTCACTGAGAGGGAGAAGTCTGCTTACAGAGCGATCGTACAGCAGTCATAGCCTCTGCATCTGCTTGTTCACTGCCTGGGACATCATGTCCCGGACAACAACAACACAACTCCACGTCATTGCGTCACTCATGGTGATTGCTTAACCATTTCCTGAAACTTTGCACCACAGAGTAAACAAAAGCATACTGGGCCAGAGGAAATAAAACAACACACTGGGAATCACAGTAATCGAGATCAACCTAAGCCGGCTATCAGAACAAAAGCAGCCACGATTGAATGGAACTCCGTGGGCAGCACAGAAAACTTTTGTTATCGTGCACAATAAGAGTCATCCCCGGCAGTCACAATAAAGCCATCACCATCCTCGCTCTTTGACCATCAGTGAACACCTTTATCCTTGAAGGACGAACAGATCCATGCTCCAAGAAATTATCTAAAGTTCATCACGGAGACTCGACACACAAAATCGTCACAAATAAATCCCAAAAAGCTATCACGTGTGTATTTAAATGTCAGAAATATCAAGTATAAATCCTTAAAAGTAACAACAGCAAAATCCCTAAACTATCAATGCAAAATTAAATCCTCAGCAGTATTAGATATATATTTAAAACCCTCAACACTATCAAATATTAACAGTGAGAGAACTGCCAGGTCCTTACTTCCGTGACAAGTGACAGAACTGTCAAGTCCTTCCGTGACAACAGTGACACAACTTGCACGAATAAAAAAAAACTCCTTACCATTCTTAGAACTTAAATAGACCCTAGTACTCATCATACTGGTCCTAGACCTTCTTATACCAGTACTAGAATACAAGTAGTAAAGTCTCAAGAGCACTGACCAGGCCGTCCACCTCGGGGTCATTCATGAGGAAAGGTTTGCGGTCTCTCTCCTGGTGTTGGACGAAGGCTTGGATGTCCAAGTTGAAGGAGTCACTGCTCACAGAGTCGGCACTTTGAGTTGCCAACTCACACTTCTCGAAGAGCAAGGCTAGTAGCGGGAACAGCGGGTGTCTGCCGGAAGATATCATTATTATTATTATTATTATTATTATTATTATTATATTCATGGGAAAACTAAAAATTAAAAATCTTTAAGGAAGGGAATCCTGTAATAAGCGTCATTAGGAATATAACTAAGGATGCCCCCTTTACACACACATAAACAAGTACTCTCCTCAGAGTTCGAGTCTTAACACACGTGGGTATCATGTATATTCGAGCCCACAGTGGTTATTAATATACATATACGTCCTGCTATGCATAAAGCGGCTGTTATACTTATATACATTAGTACATCCTCGTCAAGTGGTTTTTACCGTCACTAGAGCACAGCAGCTTTGGTTAATCAATCTTGTTATTGTGTGAACTATGAATTACTTAACCCGCTATGATAACCTTTTATCTAGACAAGTACATTTAAGCAGTACATCTCTAATACAAAATAACATCGATCTAGATAAGCACATTCGTACAGCAAGTGAAAGATGTGGTAGCCAGACTCAGGTTTGGACCATCACCCACTGTGTTAGGGATGTTGTGGTAGCCAGACTCAGGTTTGGACCATCACCCACTGTGTTAGGGATGTTGTGGTAGCCAGACTCAGGTTTGGACCATCACCCACTGTGTTAGGGATGTTGTGGTAGCCAGACTCAGGTTTGGACCATCACCCACTGTGTTAGGGATGTTGTGGTAGCCAGACTCAGGTTTGGACCATCACCCACTGTGTTAGGGATGTTGTGGTAGCCAGACTCAGGTTTGGACCATCACCCACTGTGTTAGGGATGTTGTGGTAGCCAGACTCAGGTTTGGACCATCACCCACTGTGTTAGGGATGTTGTGGTAGCCAGACTCAGGTTTGGACCATCACCCACTGTGTTAGGGATGTTGTGGTAGCCAGACTCAGGTTTGGTTACAAGTACAACTGACAGTTTGGCAGACACACACAGATGATGATCAGACTAAACGCAAAGTATGTTGTCAGCGTCATGTTCACTATGTTGAACACTGTGTGTTTCATTTTCCACTTACTGAGGAATATTAAATATAGTAGTACTGTAGCGTGTATGTCAAGTTATCATATTAGTGAAAATAAGATACCAGACATATTGAAGATGTGAAGACGATGTAATCAGTCCATCACCCTTGAAGTCGTAGATTTGAGGTTGTCAGTCCCTCAGCCTGGAGAAGTTCTGTTCCAAAGTCTGGAACTAACTGGAACTCAAATCTACGATTTCAAGGGTGATGGACTGATTACATCGTCTTCACATCTCTACTGCTCCTGCCTACTTTCTGTACTCGACTGAAGAAGCCTACTGTGTAGGCGAAACGTTTCGGAATAAAGTTGCCTAAATGTTGCCTATGTCTCTTACCTACCAACCTGTCGGTATTGTATACCATTTTGATATTCATACCAGATATTAAGCAATGTATCACAAATGTGCTTGTAACAGATGAAACTTCAGTTGGAAATATATATATATATATATATATATATATATATATATATATATATATATATATATATATATAATATATATATATATATATATATATATAATATATATATACGTCGTGCCGAATAGGCAGAAGTGCGATCTTGGCTTAAATAGCAACGCTCACCTTGCCATATAGGACAAGTGAAAATTTGTGTATGCAATAATTTCGTAAAATTTATTCTGAACCTAACGAGAAAAATATATTTCATTGTGTTTGTTTAGTATTAAATTATTGTAAACGTATGTAAAATATATTTAGTTGGGTTAGGCTAAAATAAATTGCGCTTGTTATAATAAGGTTAGGTAAGTTTTCTAAGATTCTTTTGGTGCAAAATTAAATTTTTTCACATTAACATAAATGAAAAAAATGTATCTTTAAACGTATAAGAGAAATTTTTAGAAAGGACTTAATTTTAAATGAGTTCTTGCTAATTGACCAGTTTTACATATTCGGCACGACATATAATATTATATATATATATATATATATATATATATATATAATATATATATATATATATATATATATATAGAAGGAATGCGGGGTAGGGGTCGTCCTCGAAAACGTTGGAAGGGGTAAGGGAGGTTTTGTGGGCGAGGGGCTTGGACTTCCAGCAGGCGTGCATGAGCGTGTTCGATAGGAGTTAATGGAGACGAATGGTATTTGATCTGTTGGAGTGTGAGCAGGGTAATATTTAGTGAAGGGATTCAGGGAAACCGGTTATTATTATATAGCCAGACTTGAGTCCTGGAAATGGGAAGTACAATGCCTGCACTTTAAAGGAGGAGTTCGGGATATTAGCAGTTTGGAGGGATATGTTGTGTATCTTTATACGTATATACTTCTAAACTGTTGTATTCTGAGCACCTCTGTAAAAACTGATAATGTGTGAGTGAGGTGAAAGTGTTGAATGATGATGAAAGTATTTTCTTTTTGGGGATTTTCTTTCTTTTTGGGGATTTTTTTCTTTTTGGGTCACCCTGCCTCGGTGGGAGACGGCCGACTTGTTGAAATATAAATGAATATATATATATATATATATACACACACACACACACACACACACACACACACACACACACACACACACACACACACACACACACACACACAGATGTACTCCTGTTAACCCTTTTTAGGCCTAATTTCTAGGCCTTCTCTGTACCCATATGTTCCTGCGATACCGTACTCAGGATGGATAGGAGGTGCACAAATTAGCCACTACCATCCACAAGATGGATAGGAGGTGCACAAACTAGCCACTACCATCCACAAGATGGATAGGAGGTGCACAAACTAGCCACTACCATCCACAAGATGGATAGGAGGTGCACAAACTAGCCACTACCATTCACAAGATGGATAGGAAGTGCACAAACTAGCCACTACCATCCACAAGATGATTAGGAGGTGCACAAACTAGCCACTACCATCCACAAGATGATTAGGAGGTGCACAAACTAGCCACTACCATCCACAAGATGGATAGGAGGTGCACAAACTAGCCACTACCATTCACAAGATGGACAGGAGGTGCACAAACTAGCCACTACCATCCACAAGATGGATAGGAGGTGCACAAACTAGCCACTACCATCCACAAGATGATTAGGAGGTGCACAAACTAGCCACTACCATCCACAAGATGGATAGGAGGTGCACAAACTAGCCACTACCATTCACAAGATGGATAGGAGGTGCACAAACTAGCCACTACCATCCATAAGATGATTAGGAGGTGCACAAACTAGCCACTACTATCCACAAGATGGATAGGAGGTGCACAAACTAGCCACTACCATTCACAAGATGGATAGGAGGTGCACAAATTAGCCACTACCATCCATAAGATGGATAGGAGGTGCACAAATTAGCCACTACCATCCACAAGATGGATAGGAGGTGCACAAATTAGCCACTACCATCCACAAGATGGATAGGAGGTGCACAAATTAGCCACTACCATCCACAAGATGGATAGGAGGTGCACAAACTAGCCACTACCATCCACAAGATGGATAGGAGGTGCACAAACTAGCCACTACCATTCACAAGATGGATAGGAGGTGCACAAACTAGCCACTACCATCCACAAGATGATTAGGAGGTGCACAAACTAGTCACTACCATCCACAAGATGGATAGGAGGTGCACAAACTAGCCACTACCATTCACAAGATGGATAGGAGGTGCACAAACTAGCCACTACCATTCACAAGATGGATAGGAGGTGCACAAACTAGCCACTACCATTCACAAGATGGATAGGAGGTGCACAAATTAGCCACTACCATCCACAAGATGGATAGGAGGTGCACAAATTAGCCACTACCATCCACAAGATGGATAGGAGGTGCACAAATTAGCCACTACCATCCACAAGATGGATAGGAGGTGCACAATCAACTTGAATGGTGAGAGTGGTGTGGGCTGCTGAACAAGTAACCTTTCGTTAATTTAGACAAGTCATGGGTCACCTGGTCTAACCCACCCGAGTCGCCTGGTCTAACCCGAGTCACCTGGTCTAACCCACCCGAGTCGCCTGGTCTAACCCGAGTCACCTGGTCTAACCCACGCGAGTCATCTGGTCTAACCCACCCGAGTCATCTGTCTAACCCACCCGAGTCACCTGGTCTAACCGGAGGTACCTGGTCTAAACCACCCGAGTCACCTGGCCTAACCCGCCCGAGTCACCTGGTCTAACCCACCCGAGTCACCTGGTCTACCCCACCCGAGTCACCTGGTCCAATCCACGCGAGTCATCTGGTCTAACCCACCCGAGTCATCTGTCTAACCCACCCGAGTCATCTGTCTAACCCACCCGAGTCATCTGTCTAACCCACCCGAGTCATCTGGTCTAACCCACCCGAGTCACCTGGTCTACCCCACCTGAGTCACCTGGTCTACCCCACCTGAGTCACCTGAGTCACCTGGTCTACCCCACCTGAGTCACCTGGTCTAACCCACCTGTCTACCCTCCCCCTTCACCGTGGCTACCTATTACATTCCACCATCTTTCTCCTAAACTCCTCTCCCTCTTTCTAAACCACCAAGCAGCTACTCCCTCACTCCTCTCTCTCGGAGAGACAACGTCCTCCCTCACACCTGTTGCCACACCACCTCCCTCCCCCTCCCCCCTCCCCCTTCCCATCAAAGTTCAAGCATCCACCTTTTTCTTGCACATTACGCAAGTGAGGGGTGGGAACAAGAGGCTGAATCACACTGCCTCTCACCCCTGACTAACACTGCCTCTCACTCCCCACTAACACTGCCTCTCACTCCCCACTAACACTGCCTCACATCTCACTAACACAACCTCTCACTCATCACTAACACAACCTCTCACTCATCACTAACACAACCTCTCACTCATCAGTAACACTGCCTCTCACTCATCACTACCTCTGCTCACCCATTTAGCCCGCCATACAATCCACAAGATTTGTAATCCAGGTGATGATCCACTCATGGAAGCGCCAGAGAATGAGGTAAACACAGGAAGAAGTACTACCCGG